AGTCGCCACTAATTCACTTTTAAGCTTGCGATTTCGATAGTACAATTCGATGTGTGTCTAGCCTCTCTATATCTTGCCTTCCTTTTCTCTTCCTCCCAGGATTTTTCTGCTGCCTGGGCTTTCTCTGCAGTCGCCACCAATTCACCTTTAAGCTGGCGATCTTGATAGTACAAATCGATGTATGTATCTCTAGCCTGTCTATAACTTGACTGAACCTTTCTTTAAGGCAACCATTGGCGTCTTCCGATCTTTTTAGAGCAGCTTCTAGCCCTTTATTCCTTGCCCGTAACTCCGCCATGTCACGCTTCTTTCCTCCAATGCTCTTTGAAGTCTGCCCATTTGTTCTTGGGCTGGCCTAAAACCTCCTGTTACATGTGTGTGTGCGTTCTCATAGCTCAACAGGTTAAAGACTTTTTGACTTTTTCCTCCCCCATACATTTGCGTGTGTGTGCCTAAATGTCAAAAAACCAAATGGAATCCTCACGCACATATTAACATATGTAAATAAATAAAAAAAACTCATGCTTGAATCTATCTTCACATGGATGCGTGCGTGTACATATGTAAATGAATCGGTATATATATGTTTGTATACGCAACAAAAATCAGTCTCTCCTCCAACATCGTGTTTTCAAACATAAAGACTGGGGTGTGTTCGGTATGTTCGAACAAAAGGTATACAACAAAAAACCCCATGTTGGGCGCCACACTGTGTCGACTAGCATTATAATAATTTTTTTAGAAGGGAGAATGGATGATTTGCAATGAAGTGTTAACGAATTCATTATATCGCAGCAGCAGCAACAACAATAGCTTTGAGTCACACACACATACAAACAGACACACTCACACGAATATATGAAATATTCACGCTAAACGACCATCAACCGCAAAGGCATCTCATCAACCGCAATCGTTAAAATTATAAACAAGATTAAATTGCAAAACGGCAAATGCCACGAAGGAACACCGAGACCACGGCCACCACCACCGCAGTGATGTTCCAACAGCTGAAAATCACAACCGGAAGTGTCAGTGAGTCAGTCAGGGGATGTGTGTGTGTGTGTGTGTGGGAGTGTGTGTGTATATGCGTATATAGACCAAATAATAGATTTTAAACACTTAGATTTTTTTCGCAGAAAATAGAAAAAATCCTGACCTAAAGAGATTCGATTTTTTTCGAAGCGCGAAAATAGAGTTCCGTAGAAAAAAAAATCAGTAATAGGAAATATTTTATTTAGTTATTGGAAATATGATAAAAGTTCCAAATCTATTTTATCACGCCAACTATCAAAGACCACAACAACAACAACGAAACCATTCAACCGTTTAATGTCCGTAACTGAATTAGAGCCCTTTGGGGGATTCACATTGTGGCTGGGAAGTTGTGTCCAGTGAAGCTCATTCAAGCGTGACATACACAACGTGGATGATGGTGGGTGTTTTTGTGTATGTGTGTTTACATCGTGTGAGACATCGTAGATTTTGTAGGGTCAGTAGGACTTTTTTCAAGCAGAGGAAATCACAGCATTATTAACTTCCGCTAATGGTTTTGGTATAGACAAATTGTAGTTAGCATGAAGTTACCAACAGGTAGTGACAGAGGATAAATGAAAAAAAACATAAGGCTTAAACAAATATTTTATTAAAAAAATCATAAAAACTTAATTACTTAGCTGGCTTGTTACAGAACGGGGTTTCTTTAAGCCGAGCTTAAAAAAATATTTCCAAGCGCGTCGGTCTTTTGCGATATCCTCCAATTTGAAAGACCTCATTCCAAGATGTTGTTGTCTACTTGGTCTTTCCATCTGATTCCTGGCCTTCCCCTTCTACGGAAACCATAAGTAGGCCCGCTCATTCATTCGCACAACATGACTAAGCCATCGTAGTCGCTGCAGTCAATACGACTGACTATGTCGATGTCCGCGTATAAATTGTAAAGCTCGTGGTTCATTCGACGCCGATCTTTCGGAGAATTTTTCTTTCAAACACCCCAAGAGCTGCCTCATCTGCTTGCGCAAGTGACCATGCTTCAGATCCATATAACAGCACGGGTAATATCAGCGTCTTGTAAAGTGTGAGTTTGGTCTGGCGGGAGGTGTCCTTGTTTCTACACTGCTTACGTAAGCCATAGTAGCATCTGTTGGCCATCACTATCCTTTTCCGAATTTCAAAACTTAGTTTTATGTGTGGCGGTACCAAGCTATATAAAATCTTTGACTACTTCGAAGTTATAGTTGTCATGTTCCACAGTTGATCCAAGTCTACTGGACTTCTTTCGCGTTGATACCATCAGCTTGGTCTTCTCGGCGTTAACTGCCAGAGCCACTTTGGCAGACTCCTCTCAATTTGTTCAAAGGTGGTTGTTAACGCTCGCAATGTTTGACCCATCATATCGATGTCATCGGCGTAGGCGAGTAACTGGTGTTGTTTGGTGTACAGAGTGCCGTTTCTGTTCACCTTTGCGTCTCGTATGACCTTTTCCAGCAGGATGTTAAAAAGGTCACACGACAAACTGTCACCTTGTCTGAATCCTCGTTCGGAATTAAAGGGCTCCGATAGGTCCTATTCGAATTTAACTGCTGACCTTGTACCAATTAAAGTTATTCCGCATAGCCGTATTAATTTTGCAGGAATGCCGAACGTAGACATGGCTTTAAACAACTGTGAACGGATAGGGATGTCGAATGCGGCTTTATAGTCGACGAATAGGTGGCATGTGTCGATGTGTTTGGCGCAGAGTGAAAATCTGGACAATGGTGGATTTGCCAGGTCTGAAGCCGCATTGGTATAGTCCACTAATGTCATTGACCCGTGGCTTTAGTCGTTCACACAGCACGCTGGATAGCACTTTAAATGCGATAAGAAGGAGACTTATTCCTCTATCGTTGGGGCATATCGTCTTGTTTCCTTTTTTGCGAACGGGATACAGGATGCTGAGATTCTCATTCTTGGGCATGTATTCCTCTAGCTTAATTGTGCTAATCAGCTGGTGCATGCTCCTGACCAGCATCTGACCACCAGTCTTGAATAGTTCGGCTGGTAATCCGTAGGCTTCTGCTGCTATATTGTTCTTGAGCCGATTAATTGCTTTTATGACCTCATCTTGGCTAGGTGGTATACACTCTATACCGTCTATTATTGGTTCTGGGGTATCCTCTTCACCGCTACTATTTGATACCAGAAGTTTTTCAAAATGCTCCTTCCAGATCCTTAGCACGCTGTCTGTATCTGTCACCAGGTTTCCTTTTGATGCCTGCACCAAAACCTCCTGTACATCTCGATTTGCTCACTCTCACGTTTTTCTTGCTCTTTCTTCTTTTTTCTTCTCCCGATAGTTCTCCATCGCATTACTTGTTGCTACTGTTTGCAGGGTTGCCCTATACGCTGTTTTTTTCACATCTGTAGCATTACGACACTCCTGATCGTGTCATGGTTTTCTTGGTGGTGGTTTTTGGTACCCAAGTGTTGTTTTTGCTGCAGTTTGTAGGGAGGGGGCAATTCTTTGCCATTGTGCTTCTATACTATTATCGGGACAAGGGGTGCTTTCGTCAAGCAGTTGGGCAAGTTGAGCGGAGTAGGCTTCTGCTATCTGTTGTGTTTGCAGCTTTTCGATGTCAAATTTTCGTGTTACATTAGATCACACCTTTGCTGCGACATTAAGACGAGTGCGAACTTTGGCTGCTACAAGGTAATGGTCCGAATCGATATTCGCTCCCTGGATCGATCGGACGTCTAAAACACTGGATGAATGCCTTCCGTCTATCACAACATGATTGATTTGATTTGTCGTTGTTCGATCGGGAGAAACCGAAGTGGCCTTGTGTATATCGAGATGCTTGAATCTGGTACTGCTAACTACCATGCGAAAACTGCGCTTGTTCTGTACAAGGTGCTCACATTCCAAGTGCAGATTCGCAGATCGTGGTCCTTTATACGTTTGCGGGGGTCGAAAACTGTGCCTGTTCTGTACAAGGTGCGCACATTCCAAGTGCAGATTCGCAGATCGTGGTTCTTTATACGTTAGGGGTTTTTTCTTTGCTTTTTCATAGTAGTAGGCGATTTTCGAGTGTAGGCAAATAACCCAACGCCACAATCCAATTTTTTATAGTTCTTACAGGTGAACTCGCGGCCCATATTAGGTCACTATTTCAACGGGTGATAAAAATAGCTACCCTAGGTGACACCGCGGTGAGGTCAGTGTCCACAATTGAGATGTTAAAGCCAATCAAAAAAATTTTTTTCCACGCGTTGTTAGCTATTCAAAAAAAAATTAAATTTTTACTTTTTTAATATTTTGTTTCCTTAAAAAATGCCTTTATGGAAACCTCATCCTCATGTCCCTCCTTCAAAACATGTTTTAATGTAGTTAGCCATTCTTTTATTCCTTTTTGACCTGAGCATTAACCATGCATATCCTGTCCTGTTGTTATATCCTTTAATAGTTTTCTTCTCTGCTCAATTATCCGTTTTATTTTCCAATCCTGTGCTGCTGCCCCGCACACACACAACATTTACATCGAAGCTGAAACGATTTTATTAGTTTCGAACAAGTAATGCTTGAAAATTGAATATTAAAAACTATTGTCCGGTTGCTTCGTGCTTTCTTGCCCTGCAGTTTCAAAGCTAATGACATTTGACTTGGATGAACTTGGGTGATTGCATGTACCACCAGAGCACTTCGAGCAACTCCACAATGCTGGTGCTGCAGCTGTTGAAAGTTTTCAACAATGGACAACAATGGATAATGAAATTAGTTTCCCATTTTTTATTCCATTTTATGATGTTTAGTTAAGTTTTATTACGGCTTTTTTAACAACTACTGCTAACCACCTTCTTCTCCCCTTCTCCACCATTTCCTTACAGAATAATGCCTTGGATATGAAGCGTGCTGCCAACCCCAGCCATCATCACCACCACCACCCACATTGTCATCGTCAGCTGCCAGCCGGATCTTTATTGTTGTTGTGCTGGACACCGAAGCCGATAAAAGTCGAGTAATGTACAGCAATAATTTGCAACAATGGTGGGAGCATACATATCATCACCACTTGAATCGGCAGCAGGAAGAACAGCTGGCGTTCGATGCGAACTTTTTTCAGACACAAATTCCGCAGGACTATTATTACGAAACCACAACAACGCTAAGTCCGAAAATTGCATTTGAAGATCCCAATTCCCTGATCAATCATGCAGCATTACAACAACAACAAGACGAAGCGGGACTCTATGATTATGACAGCTATGAAAATCTGACATTTATAAGTCCCTATGATGGTGATCGTGATGAAAATTCCATACCCTCCCTTACGCTGCTGTTTATGGCCATTTCCTATGGCCTGGTGGTCTTTGGTGGGGTTTTGGGTAATGCCACGTTGCTGCTGACCCTATGCTCGGCATCTTCGGTAAGGCTGCGTAATCCTCTGCTGTTGGCCGTGTGTATTGCAGATTTATTGGTGACAGGGATTTCAGCTCCAGTGACTTTACTAAATCTGGCCATGAATAGGAAAACCAAAGCTCTGCCCCTGCAGCTGTGCAAGGTCATCGATTTTATACAGGTAAGGGATCCGCTTGAAAAAAATATTTTAAACAAATCCACGCCTTGTGAGGACTCCTTAAAAATATTTTCTTCAAAACTAATTTCAATATTTATCCTCAAAAGGCCCTCAACCCTCCTCCTCATCCTCAAAAAATGTAATTCTAATGAATCCGCAGCCAATAACTTTGTAATTATTTTAGTGTGTTTGTGTGTCTGTTCCACAATTAAAAATTCAAGCTTTTGCCAAACCCATTCAACATTAATTATTTGTTGTTGTCTCTTTACAGGCCACACCAGTTGCTGCCAGTACTTTGTCATTCTTTCTACTTTCGCTGGATCGTTATGCAACCGTAAAACATCCTCGTCTGGCCCAACTACGTCAACGTCGTTATTTGCACGTTTCCTTGGCGATTTTCTCGTGGATGACATCAACCATTGTTAGTGTTCCATTTTTATTTATCTATAAAATTGTTGCAAACACAGTTGTTATTAAGAATTCTGCTGTCGCTGCTGCTGCTGCGGGTGCTGCTCCACACCGGTCATTAGCTACACCGTTGCCAACAACGTCATCATGGCCGACATCAACATCCTCCTCCCCATTATCGCCGTCCTCCGCCTCATCGCTGTTGGCATCCGATATGTCAGCCAGCAACACTCCACCCACCAGCATTTCCGTTGGGGAATTTCCCAACGTTAGCATAAGTTGCCATTCGGATCCCGCTGCCAATCCAGCTTTTGTCGTTTTCATCCTCATACATACCTTTATTGTTTTCATTTTGCCCGGCATCGGGGTGCTGCTAAATCATTATGGTGTTCGGAGGAAATTATGTGCACTGTCGCTGACAGCTCGGGCAGCACACGGTGAACTGCCACTTCCGATGCCAATATTGAGACGTCAGACGCATATGGTGATTGTGACGGGAGTTGCAAATGCCCATCAGGCGGCGGGTTGTGGTGCTGCCACAGATGACACATCGAATGGTGGAGGTGGTTGTGGTGGCGGAGGAGCAGGAGATATACAAATGCAAAATCTAAATCCCAGAATGCCACCAACAACGCGCCATTTTATTAAATCGAAAAATCCCATATCGCCAAGGTAGGTTGAAAGATTTTTATTTTCAGTTTATTGGGGACAAGGGAAGGGAGGGCGAATATACGAACTTATGGAGGTTTTTATGGCTACCCCTTAACAATATCTGTGCTAGACATGATTCTTCGCTTATCGAAGTAGTCTCATAAGTCAATTTTCAGATTGCCTTAAAAGAAATATTTAAAGTCTATGAAGTCTTCCCAAAAAAACGTCTTTGAAGATCTTATAAATGAAGTCTTTAAATCCCCCCCAAAAGGAAGTCAATTATGTCCTGCTATAGGAGTTATATAAAATTCCTCATATGGAGTCATTTACAGACAACCGAGCGGACGTCCTTTGGCTGGACTGCATAGAACTTTTTTAGAAGGGATTTAAAGACATCATTTGGGAGATATTTAAAGATGTACTTTAGGACCCTAAATATATATTTTAAGACTATCTCAAATAGGACTTAACATATTACTTTGATAAACCTACGTGAAGTGCGAGCAAAATTATTGCTTAAGAACTAAGTATGACAATATGACTTAACCTATATTAGACTAACGTGTAGAAGAGAGAGAGAGAAAGAGAGAGAGAGAGCGTGAACACATCTAAAAATAACACATGGTGTGGACACACACAACACAGCGGTGCCTGCTGATTCACCTTGTGCCAGTTATTTATCCTGCATAACCGGCTAAATAATCAATTGATTGCTATTCTGACTTAATCTTGGTTAAGTGCTATACACTCTATACCGTCATCTATTATTGGTTCTCCACAGCCACTATTTTATAGCAGAAGCTTCACAGAAAATTCTCCTTCTATATCCTCAGCACGATATCTGTATCTGTCAGCAGGTTTCCTTCTTCATCTCTACAGCAGGATTCAACAGGATAATCGATGGTAAAATTGCCGGACTTCATTCTGACTCCTGTACATCTCGATTTGCTTACGGTCACGTTTTTTCTTTGTTGGCACATATGCTGAGGTTCCACTCAGTATGCTGAGGTTCGAAACATTCTAGCCAAATTATACTGATCAGCATCTGACCACCGGTCTTGAATAAATAGTTCGGTATGAACAAATCGGCAGTTGCTCCCTTATTCTTCTTCCGCCGATTAATTGCTATTCTGACCTCATCTTGGTTCTGGGGTATCTTCTCCACCGACACAATTTGATAGCAAATGCAAATGCTTTGCAAATGCTCCTTCCAGATCATCAGCACGCTATCTGTATCTGTCACCAGATTTCCGATTGATTGCTATTCTGACATCATCTAGGTGGTATACAGTCCACACCGTCATTTTCTTTACCGACACTATTTGATACCAGACGCTTTAAAAAATATTTCTACCAGATTCTCAAGACGTTATCTATCGCCAGGATTCCTTCATCTCTACAAGAGGATGTGGCTGTTCGTTGGTGAAAATTTTGAACTTCATTCTGACTTCCGTACATCTCGATTTGTTCACGCTTACGTTTTTCTTGTTCTTTCTTTTTTAAATACTTTTCTCCTCTCTCCTGTTCTCCCGATAATTCTCTCTCGCATTACGTATTGCTACTCTCTGCAGAGTTGTCCTATACTCTGCATTTATCACCTCTGTAGCATTACGACACTCCTGATCGTACCATGGGTTTCTGTTGGTGGTCTTTGATACCCAAGTGTTGCTTGTGCCGCAGTTTGAGGATCAATTTGATTATAGAAATTCGCTGAACCTCTGGAGTGAATCTGGAGACGATGTCTTTTATACTTCTGTTGACCATAAATCCGCAGCCGAATTGATGACTCGTTTCCATCGCATTTCTTACAAGGCAATAATATAGGTTTTGTAATTCTTGAGCGAACCCGCAAAGTGAAAACTCTGCATGTTCTGTACCCATTCGAAGTGCAGATTCGCAGATCGTGGTCCTTTCTACGTTTGCGGGGGGGATTTGGTTTTCTTTGCTTTTTTAGGTTGGCGGGGTCGTTGGGGGATTTGGTTTTTTTTTTCTTTGCTTTTTCATAGTGGGTGGGGTTTTCCGACTGTGGGCTACTAACCCGATGCCTCAACCCATTTTTTATACTCGTTATGGGTGGACTTTGGCACATATCAGCTCACTATTTCACTGGGTGTTGAAAGTATCGGTAAGGTTAGTGTCCACAATTTTTTACGTTTGGGGTGTTTGGTTTCTTTTTTTTTTTAGTAGGTGGGGTTTTCCGATTGAGGGCAACTAACCCGACGCCTTAACCCATTTTTTAAGTTCACCCACAGTTTTATAATATTATTTAATTACTTGCTTCAATTAACCGACTTTTTGCAAAATTTGTAATTTGGTAGATTTTTGCGGATTCTGAAACAATTCATTTTTTTCTCAATTGTTTTTCTTTCTTCCCAAACTTCCAACAGAGCAATGCGTGAAATCCGCGAACACTCGCAACGACAAAGAATGCAACGGACATCGACACGTGGCCGCAGAGTTGCCACACCCGGTATACCCCTGCCGCAAACCTCAACGCTGCGCTCAAGACGACATCTGGCCAATATGTTAATTGGGTCGGCATTGATTTTCATCATTTGTTGGACGCCGCATGTTTTTTGTGTTATCTATCGGATAATGGGCTATAAACAGCATTGTTCGAAAGCATCACGCTATTTTAATTTGTTATTGGGTAAGTACCAGCATTATCTATATTTTTTTATCTATGGGAATCTTATAAATTGTTTACCCTAGGTTATTTATATTCCGCCCTGAGTCCCATAATTTATTGGGCTCTCAATCACAACAGTCTGCGACAATCGCCTTGCGCCCCGCTCATACGTTTACGTTCAATGCAGAAATTCCTGAGAACCCGATTCCGTTCGAATCCTGTACCGCCAGCCCCCTCCTCAACGAACGAGGCTCAATTGGGTGCATTTAATCCGAAATTAATAAAACTTACACCAAAACAATATCGCGCTCAGGCATCATCACATTATCTGTACTAGAAATAACAATACAATACAGAGAATGTGGCAACGATGAACAAAACAAAATCTAAAAAATTAAACCGAATTTGTTGTTATTTTCCCGATTTCGATTTATTGCCAAGCGTATTAGCTGTTTGTAGTAATACTTCTTTTCACCTTTCAAAACTTCTCCTTTTTTTCTTGAAACGAAAACTGTATATCCCCCTGAACCAATTTTCCTATTTCAATTTATGTGAGAATATATATTTGACTATGTTTAGATTAAATGTTATAAAATTAGGAATAGTTCCAAACGCATTATTTACGGGTAAAAGTGATGCCAAGTTGTTAACAGCTGATTTGGAATAGTCAAACAGCTGATTTGGAATTGTCAAACAGCTGATTAAGTACGATATTTTATTTCATGGAAATAAAATAAAAAAGTACAAAGAAAAAAATATATTATGGCAGAACCTTAACCAATTATAATGTTAGTCTTAATATAATGCCTTTCTTTTATTGCCCTTTCCTCTTCTAACTTTCTTCCTTCATTCTTTTAACCAAAAACCTAAATATAATGGTTCAGTAAAAGTGTCTTGAAATGTAAATACATATATACAATACAAACTAACTTGCTAACTAAAAAATTATTACTTAAGTAGATATTAAACTATTAACTATAAATTAAAAAAGTAAAACAAATCCTAATAAAGAAAAAATATAAAGTAGAAAAAATGGCATCATCATAAAAAATCAAAAGCAAAAAATTATTAAAATGAAACCTGAACTTTCTCTTTAAATTGCTACTTAATACTATAAGGCTTTCTTACTAATTACATCAATTATCATTCACTATCCTATACATTTACTATCTAAAATCAAAATTTATGCTGCAATTTCTTTACATATAAGATATAAGTATATTTTTTAGGAAAAAATACATAATTTCGTCTTTCTATTTGACAATTCACTTCTCTGCTTTAAGTCGAAGGACCCAATCTAAAGAGAGAAGGAATTTTAAAACAAGTTTCTGTGTCGAAGGACCAAATTGAAAACAGAGAGAGAGTATATTATACTAGTTCAGACGAATGTATAGGATTTTTAAGAAAAAAATCTATATTCCGATTTTAAATTCACAATCAAACTTTTGAGCTTCTGTGTCGAAGGACCAAATTGAAAAAAAGAGAGAGAAGGGATTTTGAAACAAGTTTCTGTGTCGAAGAACCAAATTGCAACAAGAAATTTAGTAATGGCTGTCTAGTAATAATAGTTCAGAAGAATGTTTAAATTTTTATTCAGTTTTTTTTTCACTTCTTTTCTTTTCACATGCAAATGCATTCGCTATGGAGCAATTGTTACGTTGGGCGCCATATATATATATGTATCTCCTCTACTAAAACATCATAATTGTATGGAAGATATATTAATTTTGCCGTAGTATGGATTAATTTTGCCGAAATCATCCTTTTGAAAGCAGTCTTTCCCGAACTAAATTGAGAATAAGTGTGTGTGTGAGCGTAACTGAGAATTCATCTTCAAAAGCGACTGGAGAAAATAGAAAGAGGTTGCATTTTAGCTGCCTTTTTACGGACTCTCCTTCAGGCCGAACTCGTCCTTCGCAGTGGAGAATGGTTGCTGAGGGATTAGAAGTCGCTGACTACTCATAGTAATAACATCCTTTGGAGGGGCTACTGTGGTCGATATCATACGCGGCGTAGATATATCTTCATTTAAGAAGTCCCTCGCAATGTCATTCGAAAAATTCCATGAGAACTTCCGAATGAATTGGTGGTTCCTTTTAATCAGAAGGAATTCCTTGTCAGTAATAGAGCTCCTGTCCCGTTCGATAAACCGGTTAACTGATCTCCAGTAAATATTTTTGTCAAGAATTTCTTTGGCACTGACGCGTTTTGATAGTTACTTGTTCTGACGATTCATTCAACGTTTCGTAGGATGGTTATGAGCTATTTGCCTTAAAAGTCTCGAAATTTTGCTGCTAGCCGTGGAGATGGAGTTGAGATCTTCATCCTCGATTTTTGCTTATCACCGTGGAATACTCTCTCTTATTTGTAGGAGTCATTAAGATAGCCATTGTGTTAATCACAGTGATATACATAGCGTATTCCTCGTCTGTGAAAACTATCACAAACATTTACTATAAAAATCAAAATTTATTTTGACATGGTAAGGATTCGGCAGCTAAGCCTGAAACAAAAACTTGAGGAGGCGCCTGGCATCAACAACGCTCCGTAAACACTGATGGGCACGAACTCGCTAACACCCCAGCGTTAGTGAGGCCACATGGGAAGAAGGTGATCTCAGAATTGGATATTTAGAAGGAAGTGACCTGAAAATTGGATATTTAGAAGGAAGTGACCTAAAAATTGGATATTTAGTAGGAAGTGACCCGAAAATTGGATATTAGAAGCACCATTCTCGCCTCGTCAATGCTGAGATCATAGACACTAGGTCAAATCCCCGTTTTTAGAATATCCCCACTATTTTCCGTATTTTGAAAATTAAAAACATATTTTCCGGTGTATTGAAGGTATTATCTTAACAAGAATTTTTTCCTAGGATCCTCCATTAAATTTAAGATATTTTGAATGTTATTCTTATGGTGGAGGGTATAAATACACAAATTTTAGATATTTTGAATATCATGTTGGAGAGTATAAAAAGTTCCAGCTCAGCCGAACTTAACATCATTTTTTGTTGTTATCATATTAAAATATTTTTTTTAATTTAATTTTTTATAGATTTTTCAAAATTATATGTGGATAAAACATTTTTTTTTATTCTATAAAATAGAAAAAAATAACTTTCCACTTACCACATTTCCGGTAACCAGCAACAGTGCATTCTTCCTCCAGCCGTTTCTATTGCAATTATCAGGTACGAAGTTTAAATATTAGTACTCGATCAAATTAATTTCCGTTTACAATTAAAAAAATATTTCATTAACATTTTTATGAATTTTTTTTGCCGATATTTAATTTTCAAAACTTTTTAAATTGAGATTAGCCGATTTTTTGGCAGAGCATATATTTTAAGACTCTAATTAATTCACACACGTATTCTCATAAACATAACTTTTTATATTTCTTCTCATATTTATTTATTTTTTTGCTCTTCTCTTTTTTCATGGATCGCAAATCGATTCCCTTTGAATAAATTTATTTCGATAATTTTTTATTTTCTCACAATGGTCATTTTCTTTATTCTCTTTTTCTCTTTCAACACAATAAAGCAATTAGCTTTCAATAAATTTTATATTAATTTTTATTTTTTGCATAATATTTTTCTGGCCGAAATATATTTGACACTCCACAAACGTTATATTTTAAAACTATTTTTCTTCTCACATTCAATTTTTTTTCTACTTTTTTGATCACTTTCAAAAATTCATTATTATTTTTTATTTCATTATTATTTTTTCATTATTATTTTTTTCCAAAAAAAAATATTTTTTGATATACTCGATGATATTACCCGGACCGAAATATACAGTGGCTCCATCGAATAATCGGACAAGTGGTTGTCAGATATAATAACGCTTTACATTTCAAAAAAATTGTCTAAATGTGTAGTTTTTTTCGCTTTTATTTACACATTACATACTTATATTTCTGAACAATACAAAAAACAACAACTTTCCTAGTGATAACAGTAAATTTCGCCAGAAAAACAAAATTAATTCAATTTATTGTGTTCAACGCAAAATCGGACAAAGCAAAGTATCAATGGTAAAAAATGCAAAAAATCGAGAAACTAATATTTAGTTGCATATTCTTTGTTGTCCAGAACGGCCTGTAAACGCTTCGGTATTGATTTGACCAAATTCTGACATACCTCCGGCTCTATGGAGTTCCACGATTCCAGTAAAGCCTCCTTAAGCTGTACTAAGGAGTTAAATTTTTTTTCATACACTCTCCTAGCTAATTCTTCCCAAAGATGCTCAATTACGTTAAGGTCTGGGCTCTGTGCAGGTGTTTGTATATGTTTGGGGCAGTTATGGATCAACCAAAGCTTTGCTACACCTGATGTGTGCTTGGTATCGTTGTCTTGATAAAAGGCAAAGTTGTTCGCGATACCCAATTTGTCTGCACTTTGCTTTACATTTTGTTTTAAAATGTTGAGGTAGACAAATTTGTCCATTTTACCATCAATAAAATGCAAATTACCTACTCCCGCACTCGACATGCAGCCCCAAACCATAACGGAACCTCCTCCGTGCTTAACAGTGGCTTTTGTATTCTCATTATTATAGTCAGCATTTGGCTTACGCCACACATACATCTTCCCATCTGATCCGTGCAAATTAAATTTGCTTTCGTCAGTAAACAGAACGTTAATATAATGAAAACTATCAATAGAAATTTATTTTAAGATGATCTATCATCAAATTACCTGCTTCCAATAATCGTCTGGTTTTAGTAAAAACTCCTTGGCATATTTTATACTACAGTTTTTATTTTTAAGGCTAATAAATGGCTTTTTTCTTGCAACTCTCCCATAATAATTATATTTATGCAATGTATTGCGAATAGTATTTAGGCACACATCTTTTCCAGTGCGAGTTTTTAAATTTATTTTAAATTCTTTTGCGGTTTAAAATGAATATTGTTTTATTTCTTTTAATATTGAACGCTCTTCTCGCTCATTTAATATCTTCCCTTGACCTTCTCTGCTTTTATTGGTCAATCGGAACTCATCACGGAACCTCTTTATAATGTCGTGGACAGTAGATTTACTCATTCCTACCAATTCGGCAATTTCTGTTTTATCTTCATAACTCAATTTATCTATTAATTGCCTGATTTCCACACTGGATTGTTTCCCTTTTGGAGCCATTTACATTTATTTTTATTTAGTATTACCACTTTCTTGGTCTAAATGCAATTTACGAATGAATATGACAAACAAAATACCGATTTGAAGTTAATATTTGCATAATAACGGGACTTTAAACATTGATACTTTGCTTTGTCCGATTTTGCGTTGAACACAATAAATTGAGTTAATTTTGTTTTTCTGAC